ATTATCCACGATATTGCAACATGCTTCTTCCTAGAATTCTTTATTCAATGTGACAAACATACTACATCTCATTGCACAAAGTGCACAAATATGCGCGCCAATTATAAATACCAACGATTTCGCAAATATGTCGTCAATATGTCGTTATCGAGAACAAAGTAGAATTTTTCACTTGCACGAGCGCAGCCCACATGTCGCATTTTTGCGTAACGATTATGCACAGAGATTTCACGTATATGTGCGCACATATGCGTTAACCGTCTTTCTTTTTATAGTAAATCCGTAGATCGAGCAAATGAGTGCTCGACATATCTTCCTTTTCGTCTTTCTTAAAGTACAATAATTTTAAAATAGAGTAGGTATTCCTTTACGTGTGACGTATTAGGACAATCTGAAAGAAAATTAATCACATTTGCTTTTCGAAAAATGAATGGAACTGAAATCATTTGTCAGTTTCTTGTATTTTTCATTATTGCAATAACTTTATATGATATCGTTCTGTCAGTTAGTTGCTGAGCTAACTGTTAATGCGTCGCATAGCGTACGTGTAACGAATAGAGATAAAATCTATACTATTTTGTTAACTATGCGATACGAAGGAATATTCTGCTTGAGTTTGAGGCAAAGTTGTGCCGTAGATTTCAAGATTACGTCTACACGGATATTGTTTATATGATACACTGTCTACATGATTTGTATACACAATCTTTTTCCTGTAGATAATGTTAACTATGTAGAATACAGTAAATTATATTAAAATATACAAAAGAAAAATTAAGTTACAAGACTGTCTCTGCATTTGTTCTGGGTATTAACTCTAGGATATCACACTTTTTAATCACGGGCTAAATATACTGGAGCTACCTTACGCCATATATTTCGCTACAACTTCCATAAAAGTCAACCGATTTCAAAAAAATTATTTTTCCATCAAAACGCCAGATTTCAAGGAATTTGTCTATGTATAGAAAAATATGAAAGACAGTAGTTTGGAAAATATTAGCTTATAAAAAAAAGGTTACACTAGAAATAATGGCAGACCCGCAGTTTTATCTGGAATAAAATTTACCCCAGTGTGATGCAGTGTGATGCTTAGGGTTAATTATATAAATATAATATCTAGAAAATATGTTTTCATGAAATTTTCGTTTTATTATGTGGCAGATTGATGGATTTAACTCTGAAAATAAGAATGTAACCAGAGAATATATATATATATTCCGTGGGCTCTGGCATGTTTAGAAAACAACAATCACAGATTTACACCAGGATTCTAAATATTAGATGAAAATGTAAACTTTTCTTAATTAATTTTCTTTAAACGACATCTACAAATTACTCATTGCTTGATATGACAGATGACATCGTAAAACGTACTTTACGTCGTCTACACAGAGTATCATAATTTACACGCAAACGCCCAAGCATGGTTTTCTTAAGAAAAGAGAAGAGAATAGAAGGAACCAGCGAGCACTATGCGTCCGTCGACTAGTTGGAAAACTCGGTTATCGATCCGGGATCGCGGTAAATATACGCGGCGAGAGCGAAGGGAGAACTCGTTCCTATCGAGTGTAGACTGTACGCGTGTTACGTAAAATTAACAGTCGTGTTCCGAAACTCACTTTCCCGTCTGGGATTTCGAAGTACGGAATAGGACGGGCGGGGAGGAAGCGCTATAAGAAAATACTATGAAAGGTAGATCACGGCGCGCAATCAAGAGAAGATATCTTTTCTTATGTTCCTCTTTATGCTTGTGTATGACACATAATTACGTTTTCGTACTGATACAGAATTCGATGAATGTACGATTGTACAACACATGATACATTGCATCCGACTTGCTAGTCAAGAGAGAGAAAGTGACACACAGAGAGAGAGAGAGAGAGAGAGAGAGAGAGAGAGAGAGAGAGAGAGAGAGAGAGAGAGA